CTCCTTATCGTATCTTTCTTTCATCTGGTGTGTGTGTGTGTGTGTGTGTGTGTGTGTGTGTGTGTGTGTGTGTGTGTGTGTGTGTGTTTTCAGATAAGTGTGTGTGTTTTCATGTTCGCTATACACAAACAACTCTACAGAAAAAAAAAAAAAAAGCATGACTGTGCCAGACTGGTGTGTCTGTGTGGCAGTGTAACAGCCTCACTTGGTATGGGTGCATGCAAGTGTTTTGTGGCTAAGAAAATAAAAACAAAGGGGATGGTGTTCTCCTTCTAATGGGAGAAAGCCATTAACATGGGTGCGTCAGCCAGCAGTTGAACTCATGATCTATTTAATGTTCATCCGCCAGCACTTGCATCTATGTTTGCCCGTGTACCATTCCGCAATTAATCAGATACAAATGGTACTGCAAGGAACATGAGTGACAGGGATAGACAGAAATCCAAATTGCAACATCACGTTGTAGCCCAGATAGTCGTGTACCAAGCAGAAAGCACAATGCACCGAGATATCAGCCAAATAAGAGCAATACAATGAACTCAAATGTCAATGTCGACACTCTCTCGCCACACCAACATAGTATCCAATGTCGCTCTTCTCGATTGGCGCTCAGCGCCCAGCCTATCCTACTCAGCACCTATACTAGCCTACACTACGTTCATGCAACAGGAATGGCTTCGATGCCGAAGATCAATGTATGTGACGACGTCGCCAATGCAGACTGCCAGCATACACCAGGTACGTGTCTCTCTCTCCTCTCACATCACCCCTTGACTTCCCACAGTGTGCATCCCCGACACCCAAGGACCACCATCACGATCACCAGCCTCCGCCAAGCAAGCCTGGCTATGGCTGCTCAGCGTCCAGCAGCGCTGCCGCCAGCAAGCACATGGCCAGAATGCCCTCTGGCTGGCATGCTCACTTTCCTTTATGGAAAGTGAGCTCTGCTCGTCGTGCCCTGGGCCTGGCTGGGCGAGTTTCCAGCAGCTTCCAGTCGAGCCCCAGTGCCTCCGGGCCTGGCCCCTTTACAGTTGGGCACGCCCAGGTAGCCGACGAGGCTACAAGTGTTCGCTGCAATCTCATTGGCTCGTGGCAGGTGTGACGTCGATGCTGCATTCTCATTGGTCCGTGGCTGCTGTGTGATGTGTCGGCCTCTGGCTGCACACACCCAGGACCCCAATTGAATGTGCCCTGGGCTCAATTGCCTGCCGCTGCTGCCGTTCCCGGAAAGAGTCAGGGAAGCCTCACGTTGCTCTGTAACCAACTGGCGCAACGCAACTGTCTGGTACCCCCACATACGCAAAATGGCAAAAGTAGGCCTCACGCGAATACACAGGCCCGCCTTCACTTAGGGCGGGCAAGAGTCTTGCTGGGGGCTTGGCTGGGGCCTAAGCCCAGAATGTGTGTGTGCCCGAAGAGGGCCTCGCGAGGGCTCAATCCTCGCATTCACAAAGAGGCCACGTCGAAGATTCAGGCCCGCATATAGATTCCAACAGCCCTTTAGCGGGACCACACTGGCCTGTACCCAGGCCTCGGCACATATTTGCAGGCCCACCTTCACTTAGGGCGGGGAACGCCTTTTACAGCACTGCCGAGGTACTAGATTCCTCGCAGTACCAAGTATGGCTATAATTCCAATTATAATATTACATAACAATTTCATCTGTTGTTCTCAGCCCGTCAATGCCTTGCCTTGCTGAATCGCCAATGACAATTTCCTGTGCTTCATCCTTACCTCATTCAAAATTATGTGCTCTTTCCCACAGTCCACCCATGTGCATATTCCACCTGAAGGCAGGTAATGCAACCATCTCATCTCTGTTGTTAACCCTTCTATGAAAACCCACCTCTGTGAACCCCCCCCTCTGCACCCCTCCCCCCCCTGTGCAGAAACCAAACCCACCTTCACAAAACCCCCAGATCTGTCTGACCCGTGGAGTCTTTACAAAGGTCAGCAGTGGTGCAGAAATGTAAGAAGCAGCAACTCTTTTTGCCTTTTCTGAGCAAATGGATCGTACATTGGATGACAGGAGCTTGGCGCGAGTCCTACAATGGATAGAAGATCTGTGGAAAGGGAACATCTCTGGCGGAAAGTGGTGGCTGCATACATCAACATGCTCTCAGCCTACAGACCGGCAAGATTCAGTCTATGATCTGTGGAAAGGGAACATCTTCGGCGGAAAGTGGTGGCTGCATACATCAACATGCTCTCAGCCTACAGAGCTGCAAGATTCAGTCTACGATCTGTGGAAAGGGAACATCTCCGGGGTTGGAAAGTGGTGGCCGCATACATCAACATGCTCTCAGCCTACAGAGCTGCAAGATTCAGTCTACAAGCTGCTGAGTCTCGCTGTCCTTCTTAGAGGTTTCCAGACTTTTGCACAGAACCTGGTGCTCATTGCGAAGCCCTGTGTTTGTTGCTGAAAGAGTACGCGTCACTCTTCAGCCAGTTGTCATGGAGATCGACCCAGGCCGACCAGGGACTGAGGGCGGTGCTGCCTGTTATGGCCTTCCTGCGATCTCACACTTGGTACCACTGGCAACTGATACCCCAGCTTACCCATTTGTTGTGATGGCATGTGATGTCAATGCATTACCTAGTAGTCTGTGCTAACTTATCCTAGCACAGTGTTCTTCCTCACTGGACGGTGTGCACAATGGCCGGTCGCGAATGTATGTTTCATATGGTTGGCAGTCGTGAATACATGCAACAATAGTTGTATGATGTTTCTGTAGTAACTAAACCATAGCAGTCTTCGGCCCTCACTCCACTACTCTCCAAATGCGCAAATTGAGACTGAATACTCCTCTAGAATATGGAAAGATACGCCGCCGTAGGTTTTGTCTTTTGTGCATGTGGGGAGTAATGGAGCGACGCCCTTTGTGATGTTTTGGAAAACCCCAGAGCGCGCCGGAGCACTGCTCTGTCAGCTGTAGTGTAAAGGCTGTTCACGCACACGTGTTAGCAACATCCGCCCCTATTAATTGAGGCCCATACGCCCTTGATAAGGGCACCTGGCACGGCCATCGTTCCCAACACGGGAAGACAGCAATGGCTCACGTAACTACTAAAGCGCTTCCCATTATGAAATGCCATAATAGGTTGAGTGAGTGCTTGGATCAGTCTTCCGATAGCCCACAGCAATTGAGGTGTGGAAGTAGTTTTTTGACATTGCCCTGCAGCTTTAAGCCGCGTGCCGAAAGACGACCATCGTGCACGTTCACGGGGAATCTAACTCACAGGTACGAACTAGCTACAGCTGAAGTTACCAATCGTTGGACCGGCGGGAGTAAGCGGGGGAAGGGTCGGCAGACGACCAGCAAACAGGGAACAGCCAACACCCTCTCTTTGATGAGAAGCGGTTCGAACCATGCTTCTAGACGATGCGGCGTGCTGCCACCACATTCATGGACACCAGTTCGCAAAATCCGGTCGAGTGTCAGGAGAAATCCAACATGGAGTGGCCCTCGTAGGGAGACCGAACGTGTCGTTCTTTCAGAAAATGCGCTCCTGCTGTCATTGCTGTCACGCAACCCCCATTTAGTGCGGACACAACGAACTCACCATCAACCACAGCGCCTGCACAGTGCCTGCATCAGGTGCTCACTTTCCACATCAGCCTCGGCATCCTCAAAGATTGAGGTTGACCATGTGTTCTCTCATGGAGCATTCGAGCAATTCTTATTCGTCCTGCAATCAAGCGTATGTGACGTCGCAGCAGCTGCGGATGGCAGCGGAAGGCAGTTCTTAGTTGACGAATGGCAGTCTAAGAATGAGCAACGTAGCGGACATGGAATCACAAGGGTGCTTGAAGGTGGTGATCTCCTGGAGAAGGCGGCTGCGAATGTGTCTGTCATACGCGGTGTTCTCTCGGGAGAGCGGGCGAAGGCGATGAGCTCCCGAGGGCAGCAAGCACAAGCTGGACAGCCGTACTTTGCCGGATCTCTCTCTCTGGTGTTCCATTCCCGTCACCCGTTTGTCCCAACCTTTCGGTCGGACATAAGATACTTTGAGATTGAAGGATGTGAGGGAGAGGGGGGGGGCTGGTTTGGGGGAGGAGCTGACTTGACACCAAGTTACATTTTTGAAGATGATGTGCGCGAGTTCCATGGCTATTACCGCAAACTGTGCGACAGGTATGAACCGCATCTCTATCCGTCTTTCAAATCTCTGTGTGACAAGTACTTCTATCTGCCAGCACGACGAGAGCACCGTGGAGTGGGTGGGATCTTCTTCGACGATCTCAAAGGGATCGAACAGTCAGCACACGGAAGCGTTGAACCCACTCCTGCGACTGGAAGTAATAATCGGGAAGGGGATAATGTAGGCGGTCTCGGTCGTAGGGACAAAGATAGGGCCTTCACAGCAGCTTATGCATTCGTAAGGGAGGTCGGAGAAAGTTTCATGCCAAGCTACCTGCCCTTAGCTCAGAGGAGAAGGAAGGATGCGTATGGGGAGAAGGAACGGCAATGGCAGCTGATTAGGAGGGGCAGGTACTTGGAATTCAATCTCTTGTATGATAGGGGTGTGAGGTTTGGATTGGATGGGGGCAGGATTGAGTCAATCATGGTGTCCGCTCCACCATTGATTGCATGGAGATACAATGTGGTCGCTGAGGAGGGGTCCCCGGAGGCAAGACTTGTCCAGGTTCTACGAAATCCACAGGAGTGGGCATAGTGCAATACGCCGTAATGCCACATGGAACCCAACCTGCTCATGGCACATGGGAATAATATAGACAAATGTATTTCTAGGAATTAACTATAATATAGACAACTGTCTTTCTAGCAATAAACTATCTGGTGATCAGGGGGACCAGCATCTTCCCATGACATAGGGAGCCTATCTTTTCGCTCTGCCACAGCGCAGAGAACATTTTATGCCCTTGGCACCCTTGCTAAATAAAACTTTGATGTGTACCCCTCAATTTGTGCCAAATGGCAGTCATAGGTTCCTGACCCTTTCTTCTTTTATCATTGGAGGACCTTTCGGGAAGGGGGAGGGGGGGATGAACCTCAGGCTCTTGGCTAATTTTATAGTGTCATAGGTGATAGCAGTAGGACACTCCCTTACATCTTTTGCCTTAGGGAAATGTCTTGATATCCAGCCTAGGCAGATTTATGCCTTTACACACCGTCTAGAGTATTTCTAGAGAAAATTACTGAGCTCTCATTTCTACAGCATACGTGATGGCATGGTCTTCCTCACCTGTCTCCCTCCTCCTCCTCCTCCTCCTCCTCCCCCCTCTCCTCCTCCCCCTCCCCTCCTGTTCTTTCTTCTTCCTCCCCCTCTGTCTCCCTGCTGTCACTCTCTTGTTTGGTTGTGCTTGGCCGACTGTCGATCCATCCGAGTCTCCTCCCCTCTATCTGTGCTTCTGCCCATCTGTCTGTCTGACGGACTCTGTTTGTCATTTGGTTAGACCAACAGAGAGACAGGGAGACAGGTTTCCCTCTATCCCGAACCATTCATACGTTCATCTATTTGCCTGCTTGCCTGCAGTCCTGCCCTCTTGTCTCTCACTGTCCGTTCAGATGGACTGATGTTTGTGTGTCCATCCCTCGGACTGTCCATTGGTCATGCATCCATCTTCCTTCCAGCCAGCCCCCTCCCTCCTCCCTCCCTCCTCCTTCACTTACACCTGTCTCTTATACACATCTAGATGTGTATAAGAGACAGGGGGGTAGTGTGGGTGTGCCCTTTGTTTCTTTAGGAACTTTTTTTTTTTTTTTTTTTTTTTTGG